GCTTTACTATTCATCGATCGTTAAGTACAACGTAAGAAAACAAATAGTTCGGCGAATTGCTGGAAAAAAAAGATATATGTATATATATCTTAGAGCGTATCTCTCTAACAGATAGTATACCTGGGTGTTGTTGAATTTACAGATATGCGTCACTGTTTACATTTCGCACTTACACTCCACGTTCCAATATCGCTTTCTCTGTCTTTCCCTCGTCTCTTTTTTCTCTCTTTCACCTCACATAATTCGTACTAATATCTCACTTCAAAACAAAGCTTTAATAGCAATATGGTGTTAAGAAATACGGTCGAGAACGTAAAGAATTCGAGAAATTTAACACGGCGATACGATCGAAAAATCATCAAAGTGAAATTTTTTCACGACGCTCTATACTTTTATTATATAAATCGCGAATTTCAGACGAATAATTAATTCACTATTCTTGGACTTTGTTACGTATCACGTAACAATTCGGTCGGTTGCACATACCTCTTCTCTCGATGGTGATTACATTATCGGGATCGTGCCTCGCGCGATCCTCTTGTGTCATCCAAAGGAAAGTTCCTTAATTCAGCTCGAATCGTATATAACGTGGCTATATTGCAGCATCATGGAAAAATTATGCAGCTTATCGACATGTATCGAGCAACGCTGGATGCATCGCGCTGCAACTCAGCTGCTATAATTTTTTCAGATCTTTCAGCACAAAACTATCCCAGCGTAACGCGGCCTTTCGATCTCGTATTACTAATAACTACATTTTTCCCGTGATATTATTTACTATTTGACTGAGAGACGCACGGGATCAACAATCATGTTATTATCTTCGGAGCAAATGTAACAAAAAATCTAAGAATAATTCTGATAAATCGTGATATACTACAAGTATCACAGAGAAAATTTTCCCTGAAAATCATAGCAATAAAAAATATTAATACGTACATAAATTTTACTACGTACCTACATAATATTATAAAATTAATCGAACATATTTATTGTGGTAGATTAATATTTTTATTATGGTAAATATTAATCAGAGAAACTCTTATAAAGTTCTTCCAATACCAAATATTATCCCATGATTTTCAGGGTAAGTTTTATAAGAGAAACTTGGATTTTCTCTTATGAGAGATAATAATTGAAGCGAATATATATACATATAATAAAATATGTGTTAAATATATATAATGACTTTCTGCATACGTATGTGTATTTGAAATAAATGAACGATTGGATCTCAAACAGGCTTGCGATTAAGAGTCAATGTATATTCTGAAGTCAGAAATCGTTGAATCTCGCCGTCTATCGACTTTCGCAATTTTGTCAGCAAAACGACGATGCGAAATGTGCGCGATTCCATTCAATGTTACAACAACAATGACATGAACTGGCATTGCGCCGGTTATCGTTACCGACACGATTTGCGCCCGTAATCATGGCACAGATCGGTGGTCTGCACCCATCAGGCCTGTGCGAACTGGGTTAAGGCGAATGAGAATCACTGTTGACCCGGTCAGATTTTTATCAGACATTAACACTAACTGCATCGAACCCGAACAGTGGGGAATCGCGCGAGCTTTTTCTACGAGATAATCGCGCGACGAAGAAATGTCGTAACGGTACTTTTCCAGCCTGCTTTCTGTCATTTCACGCAATCAAAGATCAATCATAATAATCCGGGGGAGGGAAGTGCCTTTCAAACGTCGAAAACATAATTGCGCACATTTCGCTCCGGTTAACGAAGCATTCGCGCTCGCAAATCTAAGGAATTAAATTAGAACACCATATTAAGATATTGCGGAGAAATTCCATATCTTGTCTATATAAGATCGGACCTCGATATTGAGATATTAAAATGAACACAGTAAAATGTAATCCCCGTGTATAGATCTCCGGAGCAAATCTCTCGTGTATATGTTATGTACATTAAAGAGTATATTACGGAGTAATTTATTGCACGTCACTTTCACTACTCTCGACTTTCTTACCTATCAGCCATAATTATGCGATATAAGTAAGTAAATTTATCGGATTTCTTTTCTTTTTAATATTAAGCTAAAAAACTGTGTCTAAAAATGCATGGCTCTAGAAATCCTTAATTCGTTCCACAGATTAGCTAGCTTTCTATTAAAATTTTTGACACTATAAGTCTCGAGAATAATCATTCTAATGTTTGTTTATTAATTCTGAAAGTTGGACGTATTTTTATATGATTATTATGTTATTATCTGTATATATGTAACGGAACAAAACTGCGAAATCAATTTTTATACATGTGCAGATCGACGAGGTATGTTCTATTAAAAGAGTGTCTGTCTGTAACAAAAATAACAGTGCGTCGAGTACTATTCCATGATTCGCGACCGTCTAATTTCGCTTGCTATTCAACAACATATCTGCCAATCATTTTCGGGCATTCTCGGTACATCGGAAATTTTTCAGAGACTCCTGACGTCAGTCGGCTAGCAAAGATGAAATTCTGAACCTGCTGAACCCTGCTTTTTTATGATTGGTTATCGATTACCGATTCGATTTTTGTTTAATGTCGTCGTCTTATATAATATTGATTGGTTTTCATATAATTTTATATATTTTGCACGTGACACAATAAAAAATGAATTGACTTGTTAATTAACGATTCGAGAATAACTCAATTAAAAAATGACTTTTTTTTTCAAAAAAGTAAAAAAAAATTAATTTATACATCAATAAAGACCTTTTTCAGTATTCATTTTATTTATTATTCAAGTGATTAAAGTTAAGAACGGATGCAAAAGAATTAAAATGTGATTAGTTTAAAACACTCGATAAAATTAAAAAACCCAACTGGACTCGCATATATATACATAGTTTTGGTGCAAGACAAACGTATCTTTTAATTGAATGGATGAAAAGGTTACATAGTTGATGATGACATCAGTTGAATATAAACGAACACCATGTAAAGTACTGTGTGAATCATCATGCACCTTTTTTAAGTGCAAACGTCATACGGAGTCATTAGATCTTATTTGATTCGTAGAAAGTATAATATACTGTACTATCATACGCATATCTATATCAATTTCTAAAAGTTGATATCTACACGTATTCTGTATATACAAGTGGATTCGAGAACAAATCATGTTCAGTACAAATTATAAACGTGATAAAAAAATAAATTTGGTTGTGATAATATTTTTAAAAACAATAAATATGCTATAAAAAAGTTTTAATTGATATGTATATATAAATCTATATATTAGATATGATTTAAAATGTATTTTTTAAAAATCTTTTTATACGTACAATTTGCAATCTTAAGATCTATTTTAAACAACATTTTAAATATTTTTATTTTTTTCAGAGTTGGGGAAAATAAATTTGAAGATTACAAATTGTAAGCATAAAATATTTTTAAAAAAATTATTTAATCTGGTTATAAGTTTTTCGTCGACATGCTACAATATTGTGCGATTATTTCTGCGGTTATATTCCAAAATAAATCGTAAAAATTCAAAGGATCCAGATATCGAAAGCGGTTACTGCGGCCATTGTGAGACAAAGGTCGGCTACGATCTCGAACGAAATATATTACGTAAGTTAGCATAAATACAAACTTTCTAAACGCGCGCCGCGTGCGATATGTTGTACCGTCTCTATAGAATGAGATCTTCGTCCCATTCATAGCATTCTGTCAACCGTATAGTAACGATAAAATCTAGAATATTATATCAATATATAATGAAAAGAGAAATTCATAAAAATTTTTTGCTCTTTTTTTCTCCGCTGAATTTGATCACGATTGTGTGTTGCGATACATCTAATATTTTAATATGTATATATGTACATGTATATCTATTATGTTATTTTGAAATATACTTGAAAGATGCAAATTGTCGAAAATAATGATGTTACGCGATGTTGTTAGAAGCAACGGTACCGGTTCAACCAACGGAACCTTTCGCTTTTTATTTTCGCATCGAGAAAAGAAATGATTATGAAGAAATGTTCGATCAATTGTTCCGTTGAATTTTAAGCGCGTTATAATGGGATGTTAATTGATCATGTCAACTTTTAATAAATTTTATAAATTATATAAAGTTGTTGCGCATTAATATAAAATTAATAATAATGCGCAAAACATCAATTATAATAAAAACATAAATTTTAATTCTTTTGCATCCAAAAAATCTATTATTAATGATACGTATATAATTTAATTTTTATACGTGTATGCGTCAAATAATTAATAACAAGTTTTGCAAGATTAAATTAAAAATTATAATTATCTATATCGCAATATTTTTCTTATATAGTATAATAAAATTATTATATTAAAATAGCATTTTGAAATGTTCAAAATGATCAATGTAATATATTAAAAAATTTCTCTATTAAAAATCTGAATATTTATTATAACGGGAATTTTTCCTATCAATACTTTTTATGGAATGTGAAAGAGATATAGAAAAAAATAAAAAGCGAGAGAGAGAGAGAGAGAGAATATTACGTTGGGAAGTCCTGCCAACAAGATGTAGCACCTAATGACATTGCGGTTTGCATTTATAAGTACTGCAGCTATAGACAAGAAAATTTACAGCTCCATAATCGTCTCGATAGTGAGAAGTTAATAGCGTGATATGCACAAGATTGAAATGTTTCGAAATATTTTTTGAAACAAATATAAAAACTTTACACACATAAATCATATTATACTTTAAAATAATTTCTGAGATTTGTGACATATATATATTTTTTAAATATATAATAAATGTTATTAATATTATAAAAAATTAAGTAAATGTGGCATTAAACATTAAACAAATTAAAAAATTAATCGACTGATGAAAAACGATATATATACATATATAAGATTCGATTGAACCTACAACGGTATAACAACGAGAGGTGACTTACACAAGTATCTCACCTTGAAAGAGGGAGAGCCGGCAGATCATTTCGCCGAGAATGCAAAGCGATTTAAAAGCGGATCATCAATGGTATACGATAAAAGTACTCACCGTAAAAATATCCCTCGATTTGACGCAGCCTCCTTCGCTTCGTCCTCCGGCTCCTCTCGGCGACTCGCAGGTAAATTCAAGCCGGAGTCGCGCGGTTGTACGGTTGCGGGGAGTCACCGCTGCTGGCCGTTGCCCCGAATGTCAAACAGCGCGAACAATGGCCCGCGATCACCGGCTGCATGTCAGAGATGCGTGCGTGCTCCCAGGATGACGTTCACTCTCGGGGGAGAGCGAGAGAAAGAGTGCGTCTGCCAATAAAACCAGTCGAAATCGCGCTTACGTATCTCGCCACCTTCTCGTGTCCGTTCACACCGTAGTGACGTTTGCAGCGAAACGGCCGCGTCCTCCTTCCCCAAAATTCAACACGCGTGTCCGTTTCACGCGACGCACCGTAATGAACTGAAGTGAGCGCGGCGTCCACCGACCGCGCCGAGCTGCCGAACCGAGCCGCGGATATCCGAATACACCCGATCGTCGCGCACGACCGGCAGCCGAGGCTCGGTGAATGTGTGCGCGCGAAACACGCGGGAGATGATCTTTCTTTTTCTTTCTCTGTTCTGACGGTTCCGCACTCTTTCTCTCTGTCTCTCTCTCTCTTCTCTCGCCCTGTCTCCCCCGCATGTCTGTATGGGATGTCTGTTGCTGCTGCCTAGCAACGGCGTCTCGAAGTCTCGATGGGATTGCTCCGACGCGCTGAATCCTCTCCCGATCTTTAAATGATGATATAGAACAGGCTTTTACCCTTTGACGAAAATTTTATCACGGAAGAACCGCGTATAGACAGATACATATTCACGGACAATATATGGTATTGGAAGAATATTTATCACACAATAAAAAATATGCATATAATAAAATTAATCGAATATATTTTATACAATATCTTATTGTGGTAGATATTAATTATTTTTTATTGTAATAAATATCAGAGAATATTAATCATATTTTTGATCAGAGAAATTCTTACAAAATTCTTCTAATACCATAATTGTCCCACGAATTACCATGATTTTCAGAGAGAAAATTCTCTCTGTGTACAGATAAGCAAAAAAAAGCGAGCATATAAATTTTCAAGAATTCTGGCGACACACAGCGGATAGATTTCTTTATTCCAGCGAAATGAAAGGGATGATCGTATTTTTTAAATATATTATATATGTAATGATACTTCGTCAATTTCGGCAAATATTTTAATTGCATTTTCTCGAGCAACGAGCGCAGAAGGTCTTTTATATTTCTTTACGTAGAACAGCGCGTGATCGCGATTTATTTACTCTTTACCGTGTACAATAATCACATCCGTTTTACCTTTCTGGAATTTCGCGATGACGTATCCTGCCGCCTGTGCAAATCGCAATTTGTCACATCGATACAAATTGCCGGTCACATGAGTCGACTGTAGAGCGGTGTGTTAGTTAGCCGCAGAAGTTAATGAGCACCGCAAATATGTCGCGCGTAATCAATTCGCGCGCATGCAAAAGGCGATTTATAGGAGAAGCACGTGATGTCAAATGAATTCATAAAAAAAAAAAAAAAAAAAAAAAAAAAACAACTTGCATGCTCTGTTGAGCACGGGACAATATTTTAGGAATCGACCAGTTTCAACTGGTTAAAGCTATTTAAAGATATTTGTGACCACCAAGCGACCGCAAATGTCGATCTATCCGCCATGACGCGTCGTAAAATTTCGCATAAATTATATGAAATCCTTTAGCGGAAAATTTCTATCGTATCTAAAACGCGATCGCCTATATATTCAATGGATGATTACATGCATGAATAATGCTTAGGAATGCTATGATACAGCGGAGATTCCTACTTGCGCAAAGTATAATAATTTACATTTTACAGAGCGATTCTTGACATTTGATAAAGCTCTTCTTTCGTGTTATTCCCTGAAGATTTCTTTTCCATTCGATTCCACTTAGCTCGTGGCAGGTCAACGCGTGTGTATATAAATTTGTGTGGGCGCATTTGTACGTCTGCGTGAATACACTTCGTTGGATGGTCGCATTGTCTATGCAAAGTGAACGATATTTCGAATATCAGTCTGACGCGTGTACTGATTATACCGACAATTTGTCTCGACTACTCCTTTCGCGCACGTGTCGCGTTTTCCAAGGCAAGGTCCTTAGAATTTCAAACGCTACATAATCACGGATCGATACTTGCATCCGCATACTCTCTCGCAGCCGCAAGGCCGACGAAGGATAAATGTCGCATTGAGGCGATAAGCTTTCTCAAGAAAAAGCGGTGAAATCTTTTATATAAGAATATATAGACTCTCTGATAATAATTTACTAACAAAAAAATCCCTAATTTTTTTCAATAAAAAGTAACTTAAGTTACAATAATTTGACGTAAACTTGCGCAAAGTTCGTTTGAATTCGTCTCCTCTGAAAATAACATATCGTCAGTAATTATTCACCATTTGACAATTTATCTTCTTTCTCTTTTTTTTTGCGAAATCGTTTACATCTCCCGTTCTTCAACAAAATTACACAGACGGCTCTCTCAATTTACCTCCACGAATATTGATGCGTTCTATTCTATTCGCGAATGCGAGCCGCGTGGGTGAAATATTTACGTTTGCTGGAAACGCAGACGCGTGTTCGCCTCGCTGAGACAGGTGAAAGTGTCCGAGTTTCTTTCGCAGTATAACTCTAAGAGTCGCATGTTCGAGCGGCGATTCCGAGATCGCGAAGATTTAGAGAGGAAACACGCGATCTCGATTGCGAGGGGACAAAAATATTACTTTTGTGCGTCGCTGCAAAATAACGTTCGATAAAATCAAGCGGATTCGCCGTGGTCGTAAAGGTCTCCCGGGGATGGAGAATTAATTGGCCGATAGCGCGACACGGCGCTTATTTCGAGCGTAAACTAAATTCAAATGTAATCGCTCACCGTGCGAGAGCGGGATCGTTTAATAAGACAGATTACGCGCCGCGCACCGGCCATGTCAAATTTACTTCTCATTGTGTTCTATCGTTCGCCCCGCTTATCCGTTTACGACATTCATGCCGGACCTCGTTGTTGCCTCGCTACGAAAGCGAAAATATATTTAACGAGTATTTATTTGATGCTTGTATGAAAAAAGGGCCTAAATCTAGTAGAAAAGAAAGCACAGATCCAACATAATAATATCCAAATAATTGCGTCTCCCATTAAGTTGTCTATTCTTCCTCTCTTTCTCTATAATTTGTGCTTGCAGTTCTTATAAATTCTTGTTGTTAACTTTTCATCTGTCTAATGAGTAAATATTTAATAAGCAAAGAAAATTATTGCATTTGTATGTCTTCAATACAACATTCAATTACAAAATTCTTATTTTTAATGACTAGATATATCTTTATCGCAAGCAGCATATTTACGAAACTCGTCGAAATTTTTAATTGATTTAAAATGTTTAGAAATGCTTCAACCGTTTGTAATATCATAGATCGTTGCCTGAATGCCACTGATAAAAACCTCATTAACATAAGATTAATTGATTAGTGCCTCGTCGAAAAAATGGCCTTTAAAAAGAGTGAAAGAAATAATTTTATAAAGCATACGAAAAAAATATATCGCGATAGTTCTCGAATTTTAAATGTAGAATATTAAAATATTTAAATTGAACAATTGATTTCGACAAACGTTCTTGTCTTAAACATAATTACTTCCTTCGAAATAAAGAGAATGAATTTCGTTACGTTTCTCTCAATATTTTTCATATCTGATCGGATAAGTAGGACGGAATATTCAAGATAAAACGCAGTATATGGCGAATAGTAATAATATACGCTCGATACCAATCGTTTATATAATAACATAATGCTATAATATTCTTAATAAAAGTAATGCGTAATTTTAAATTTTAAATCGACAGATTCCAATTTTGTACCACATTTTTATCCGCCGCCGCGTTGATCGATTTCGCGTCTCTGGATATCCTCTCGATCTCTCGACCCTGATGAACCTTTGTACTCCTCGATCGATGCATCGACGTCCTTCCGGTTAATTTTCTACTGAGTTTTCTAGCCAGTCTCCTTCTTAATCTGTAAACTTTTTCCTGTTGCTTGCGACGTTTCCAACTCGCGCCTTCAATTTTGCTCGGTCTGCTGAAAGGTCTCTTCAGCAAGTATTCCGCTATCCTACTGGATTTCTCATCCTTGGCGTCAGCTAGCTTGGCGACTAATAGATTGTACAGCTTTTTGCTCGCGATCCGATTTCGATGTTTCGATGTTTTTGACCCGAGAATATCGGCGTGCGACGTCGCGATGACAGAACTGATCGCCTTCATCTTCGCCAGTCGCTTCATCTGGCGCCGATGATGAGGATCCCGAATCTCGCATAAGCCTCGCTTTCGAGTGCGCTCGAGTTTCATATTAATTGTCGGCATTTCCGACTTCAAGCAATCAGTCTGCCTCTCCTCGCACGACGAACTCTCCAACTCCGAGGAACACAACGTTACACAGCCTGCGCTTTTTTCTTCTTTGGAAACGCAATCGCAACTCTTGTCGGTCTCCGTCTCGCATTCCGAAGAGATCTCTGCGGACTTCTCCTTGCAGCGCACTTTGGAACACTTGACGGTGTGATTCTCTACTTTTTCAGAGGTGTCTTTATCACAGTCCTTCACCTCAGAGTCGCAGCTTGTTTCGCAGGACATTCCTGATTCCTCGGTGCTTTCGCTCTTGGATATGCAGGCTTCTAAACAAAATGATTTTGTGTATTAATTGTTTATTTACATAGTTATGTTTAGAATATGTTAATATGCAAGTGTATGTATGTGTACATGAATAAATATACAATCCAATAAAAAAATATTTTTGAATTGAAATGTGGAATAATAATGTCAAAAATAAAAATTGCATTTTTTCTCTACAGTAACGATATATGATGTGATAAGCATTTATTTCGTATTATTATTGCGAGTTACAAAAAATACTATTTTATTTACCTTTTGTGATTGGCGTTCCACTCAATTCCGTCACTGTCGTTTCAATGGTCGACGACTCTGGAGATGTTTGAGTAGATTCGAGAGTAGAAGTCTGCGTAGTTGTCGTCATTTCCTCGCTAGTTTTCTCCGTACTTTGCTCGCTGGAGCATTCATTAGACTCGCAAGGTATCGTCGAAGCAGTTGTACTCTCCGTAGTTTCCTTATGGATATCCAACGTAAATATATTTTTCTTCTTCATCTCCCATTTCATGTCGACTGGTACCACTGCTCTTGCTGTCGTAGTATCCGTTGTCAATAATGTAGAAGTAATGGTCGTGGGTAATGTTGTGGTAGTTGTAGTAATTGTCGTTGGCAACGCAGTAGTTGTTGTAGGTATTGTGGTCGTTGTAGGTGATGTAGTAGTCGTTGTAGGTGATTCTGTAGTAGTCGTTGTAGGTGATTCTGTAGTAGTCGTTGTAGGTGATTCTGTAGTAGTCGTTGTAGGTGATTCTGTAGTAGTCGTTGTAGGTGATTCTGTAGTAGTCGTTGTAGGTGATGTTGTAGTAGTCGTAGGCAATGTCGTAGTAGTCGTTATAGGCAATGTTGTAGTAGTCGTTGTAGGCAATATTGTAGTCGTTGTAGGCAATGTTGTAGTCGTTGTGGGCGATGTTGTAGTCGTTGTAGGTGATGTTGTAGTTGTTGTTGTAGATAATTCTGCAGTAGTCGTCGTAGGTAATGTTGTAGTAATCGTAGGTGATGTAGTAGTAGTTGTAATCACTGTAGGCAATATTGTAGTAATTGTTGTAGGCAACGTTGTTGTGCTCAGTAACGTTGTAATTACTGCAGGCAATGTTGTAATCGTTGTAGGTAGTGTCGTTGTCGTAGGTAACACTGTAGTTGTCGCAGCTGTTGTACTTGTTGCGGCCGTGGATGTCTCTTCTTGGATTGTTGATGTCTCATCTATTACTGTCGTTGTCGAAATAGGCATCGCATGTTCAGTTGTCACAATAGTCATGTTCATAAATTTCGTACTCTTTTCCGTTTCGGACTCTGTAGAAACTTCGATAGATTCGCTAGACTCTTTAGATATTTCAAGCGACTCCGTAGTTTCTTCAGAACTCTCTGAACTTTCGCTCTCGCTAGAGCTTTCGTCAATTGTGCTAGTTCGAATCGTCGCTTCGCTGGTGGATTTAATACCCGTTGTTTTTCTCTCGGTACTCCACATGGCGCCTATGTTTGCAATTTTTGAAAAGCGTGTTTCCGATATCTTGAAAGGGATATCCACGGTACGTCTCGATTCTTGCGTTACGTATACGGGAATCACACACATATTGCTCAATTGAAAGAACTCCTTAATGAGCTCCTTGACTTCAAAACTGACATATTTGCAGTATAAAACCAACTGCAGACCTATTTGTAGACAAGCTCGTGGAGCGTTGCAGAGAATCTCAACGGGGATGTCCTTCATATCCCCCAGATTTTCCTTGATAATGTCGATCTTTTTCATCAGGTCCTCGTAGAGCGGCACTTGTCGTAGATTTTCGTAGGCGTCGAACAGCTCTAACAGCTCACCGAGACTCTCGATCATATGACTTCTGCGCCAAAATCTCGCGTGTATTCGCAGAGATATCGCAATACTCTTGGCGAAGTCGATATCCTTCAGCTGTCCGGTGATCTCCATCGTCAACTGAACCGGTGTGGCCTGCTGATACTTTTGCACCTTGAGGTGTTTCTCCACCACGTCAAATTCGTTTAATTTCTTCACCAAATATTTCTTAGCATCGATGACATCATTGTCGAGTAGATCGTCGGGCAACACAAGATCAAACAGATACTTGATGTGAATCGTTCTATTCTCATAGACGTTACCAAGTAAATAAATATTCTCATCGATCGTGCCGATGTCGTCGACGATGCGTTTCGCGATTAGGAACGCGTGTCTCTTCAGATTATCGTCCGAGAGTTTCTCAGCGTATATGTTGACATAATACTTGAGGAAGGAATTCACACTTCGAAATTTCTTTAATTCCGCTGTCGGCAATGGTATCGAAATTTCAGTGGTATGTGCGAGCTTGCGAAGAAATTGCACGAGCTCTCTCTCGGCGAGACGAACGTCATCATCAAAATAATCATATTTTACATTGTAAAGAAGTCCGGATAACAGATCGGGCGTAATCGTCAGCATTTCTCGCTGTAGATGCTTTAATAAGGCCGCTAAGGAAAATCCTCCGAGGTATTGCCTCGATATCTTGGACAAACGGTACGCCAAATGCGTAACGTTCAAAGCGGACGTGCTAAGATCGTCGGGATGCGGAAGATCGTGCTGCGGTCTGATCCTTCGACATACGCTGGCGCTACTCTTCAGGCAGGGCTCTGCATGAGTGTAAATTCTGGCGCAGATCTTCGACGGTCTTGTGTCCGGGTTCCACAGAATCGCGGGGACCAGGTTGAATATATCGTATCGTCGTTCGAAGATCTCTTGATAGACCTTGTGCAACGCTTGCACTTCCACTATACTGAAGTCGTCGTAATAGATGTACAAAAGGTTGCCGAAAATATCCAGGAGGCGCATTCGCAGAAGTGCACCAAAGTACAGCAGTCGCTCTGTGCCCTCTTGTAATGTGTAACTCTCTTTCGGTGCGACAAGATTTAGTTGCTCGAGAAGATCACGATTCGTTAAGATTATCTTGCCGTTCAATTTCATCGGTGTTACGTCGTGTCTATGAACTTCATAGTCGATCGCCTAGAGAAATTGTTGAGGAATGAATTTCTATCCTAAAACACTCTTGTCGAAGCCGTCTCTTCCCTTTTTTTACATATTTTTACAAACTTAATTAACTTATTAATATAATTAAATAAATTAAAATTGTATTAATCACTATTAAATAATATTTATTTTTCCTTTTAATTTATTATTTGTATATGTACTTACTTTTATTTTATTTTAAATTTTTATTTTATCTTTATTCTTATATATAAATGCACACTTTTTACATTATTATATGTAGAAATAAATATGTAGAAAAAAATAATTATATTACGTACAAAAACATTACATACAAAAAAATTAAAAAATCAGTAAAAATTCTTACTTTTCAAATAAGAAATTTGAGAGGATGGAAAGCTCACTTATAAAAAATATTAAGTTAATAATATGATCAGTGTTTAATTTGACGATACTGATTAATTGTACAAAAAATATATTGCCGCTTATAGTGCGATCATCTAGTAATATTATCAACTACTTTCCTCAATTCTATGATTGTCCGTAATTTCTTTTAATTTCTCCGCTTTATTATTGCAAGAGTCACGAAAAATTTAATGATCTATATCGGGCATCGTTCTCGTTGTTAACCCGTTCGATAACACGTTAGCAATATTGGGACGACGACGCGGATATTAGCAATACTGTTATTCATTTCGAGGTTGATATCGTTGACAGTTGATGTATTTAATTTGACAAACAATAACGCAATAAATCTTGAAAAATAGATAAACGTAAGTCTTGGCTTGTCACGTTGTAACTAGATGATTTTACTACAACTGGACTACAATTGTTTGTACAATACTTGCAATGATTTATTCTAAAAATTAAAACATAAAAATATATAATACGAGATGTTAATATATTAGAAGCTTCTATAATTATAAAACATTTTTGTTAATCAACTAATCAATATAAAAAATTTTGATAAAAAATTTTAATTATAATTCCTTTTATATTAATAAAAAATTTTAATATATTACAAATCTTTCATTTATCACAGTCATTATCTCTTTTCCCTCCTCTCTTTCTCTTTATCCTTTTAATTTTTCACTCGTTTTGATAAGGTCAAAGATCCCTATCTCACCTGCACGGATAACACAAGCAGCATGGTCAAAGTGCATCCGATTCCCCATATTACGAACTGAGATGACATTGTCAGTGCCATAATTCGCGCAAGTCACTCGCGAGACGATGCAGTTCGCTCCGACAACAATGCAAACCGATCAAGCTGTCGCGTAGCTTATATAAGGTGCACATGAATCTCTTTACGATGTGCACGTGGATGAGGACGTGTGTGGCAGTGTTGTGTGGACTAGTATCGATGAGATTGAAATTAATTATATGAGCACACGTTATCGCAACGATAGGTTGCGCCGTTCTGAAAACTCGAGTTCCACTCATATTTGTCTCACAATCTCATGCTTTTCTCTCATAATCGACATATTTATACCATTTTTTCTATAATTAATTGTATATATATCTAACTCTCTAAATTTTTAATCCACTATGTATTTTATATTATTATCATAATTGTTTTACAAAGTTTTTCAAACTTTGTATACTTTCCAAAAAAAACATTCTTATTTATATACATATACATCATAATCAATTCTTCTATTTTAATATATATACTTACAGTCTGTTGTCCTGAAAATTAATATACAATTAAAATTCATTGAAATTATTTTGGTAAGGTGAGAAATAGCACAGTTTACGAACGCAAGCGCTGCATACAAGTTTTATGTAAAATTCTGCCCACCTCGACGGTCGAGCTTGCGCAGTTTTCATCCTAATATGGATTCCTCGAGTAATGCATGTCTCATGCTAAGGGTGCGTAGCAATTTTAACGGAATTTCGTCGTCCGAGAGTACTCGCGAACGATCGTTCGCCTCGTCGTCACGGCGATAGTTTGCAACTCGCGGCTAGGTATAGCCCATCGTCATATAGCTAGAACTTAGTATAATGTCTGAGGACTACGAGCACGCTTGTGAGAGGGCAGAATTATTGGGCTTGACGAAGCCGACCGAGGAGGAGTGGAGACAAACACAGGCGGCGCAGAAAGAAAATCGTTGCGATGACGAAGACGGTGCATTACAGGTAATCGTATTTCAAAACTACGGCTAAAAATTCCGTAAAATAAAAACTGAGAACCAGTCTAGAAGAGAATAATCAATTTCCATCTAAACAAATTATATCAATGTGTTTTTTCTATTAATTACAAATTAATAAAAATTAAAAATCGAACGCATCAAATAAATAAACGCTAAAATGTCAATCGAAAGAGACTGAAAAAAATACATATTGCATGTAGGGTGATTTCTCTTCTTTTATTCATTCACCCCCTTCATGTACATCTATCTATGAACGACTAATGCACTTATATGTACATCAATATCGTGTTCGCGATAGACATTACGCGGCAGAATCGGGTTGCGCGTCCACGTGCAAGTCAGATTGTCGGGGATAATAACTCGCTGACGTCGAATCACGAGTTCATTAACGCCTATGTTTGCGCGTGTCACAGTATAATTCCTCTTACGACGATTTTTATCTCCCATATAGGATTTGGATCACGCGGACCAGACGGCCAAACGCATCGGCGGCGGCTTGGACGAGCTGAACAGCATTTTGAGCAGCACGCAGAAGAAGCTCAATAGATTCAAGGTGACTTAGGATAATTAATTGTTCAGCGGGTCCGCGCGCTCTCATTTCGCTCATGTTCGCTCGAATTAATTATTATTTTGTCATAACGATAGCGCGGAATTTTTACGACCGATACGGAATGCTTTATATCCTTACCCGGTCGCAAACTGATAACGCTTTTTTTCTCGCTACACTTTGATTTTATCGGCCGGCTAAACAAATTATTTCAAGCAGAAATCGTAACAACGTAACTCCTTTATATACGGATATATACTAACAAGTTATAACTAATCGATATTACACGTATATTTATAATCGCGCGCAGCATTTATATGAAAAGAGAAATTCTTACCTGGAATCAAATATTCTGTAGAAATTATGTTACCTGAATGAAATTCTGTAGACAGTTTGCGGCAGTCTGGGATCATTGCTCAAAGGGAAGGTGAGCTCTCGCGGTGGCACTCCTCATCACAATCCCGAAGAGCCGAATCCCGATAATCAGGAGGTCCAGGAGGAACCAGGACCCGCAGCGGATGAGGTGATGACGTTGGAGACGTCCGATGACATCACCGCGAATGCTGCGAACGCGTATCCTGAAAACAGTGGTGTCAATCAGCCGAAACAAGTCGATCTCAGTCAGAAAATGGGCTCTCATCTAGATAAGCTCGATTCTCTGATCACAAAGGCTGAAAACGCTCAATATAGTATGCAGCATCAGACGAAGCAAATGCGGAAGTTCCTGAAGTAGGAGCCTCCGAAAAATCGTCGCTACATCTCGATTTACAATTAACGAAATAAATTATATTAATTAACGGACCTTGGCTGGACGATAAATTCGTATAAGGTATGATCAATTAAATTATTATATTAATTAAATTATTATATACATATAATTCGTATCTTCCATTTTAAATGTATAGAAAATCCGTGTAAAAATATAATTTACAAATATGTTAATTGTGTAAGTAATTGACCGAGAAATTTTTCAAGAAATTTCTTGATCTGGGATAAATTTTACAGTTTTGTAGGGAAAGATTATAGAATTTATAAAATTCTATAAGAGAGAAAAGATAATAAGCAGTGAGCGTCCAGGTATATATTACATATGAGAATTCGCATAGATTTTGCGACTGTTAAATTACGTGTATAAAGTTTCATTGTTACATCGAGTATTGATATTTTTCTCGTGATATTTATTTTTGATCTCGTGATTGTTATTGATTCTTTCATATATAGCGCGACGTTCTCTTTGTCGCCGAAAGCCCAATATATATTGTTATAGTAATAATATACATATGTTATAAAATGTATATGTATATATATACACACGAATATTGTTGATAAATTTAGTATTGTTATAGTTGTAGAGACACGAATGTATTTCTGGCAATGAAGGCTTTGTGCTTAGATCCTTGACAATATCGACATATCAGGTGTAAAAAAATGCAGTTGGCGAATCGAACCGGTGATAAACTTTCCTACTATGCAAATAATGTGATATTATTTTACATCGATTTAGAAATATTATGATCTCCTAGAAACCATATATATTTTATCATCAAATATATAGTTTGCGCTCTATTTTTCTAGGTCTAAGTTCTAACGCCGCGTAAATAATAATATATTGAACAGCGGATACATATTTTATCATCGAATAGTTTTGTCTTATTCCGCCTATATTTAAGTTTAGCGAAGTATAGTGATACATGCGTAATAATACATACATACGTATTATAATATATAGCGAGATATAGCGGCTATAGCCGATACATATTCGCCGTTTCTTATTGCATTAAAATTCGAAACATAAATTGTATTAAGTGCCTTGCTTTCGATTATTTCTTATAAGACACGGTGATTCGAGATTCGAGATATTTGTAACCCTCTTTGGATGAAATTATATTACATCTTTTCTCATTTCTTAATGAAAACTTTTTTACGAAAATTTTGATTTTATTATTTATTTTATATTTTTAAAAATATTTAACAGAGCTCCATATAACGTACAATCATTGAATTTATTATAAGAAATACATTCTACACACGATATATTATTCTTAAATAATATTAATCCACAGAGGGTTAAGCTCTTTATATATATGCACATCTTAATAAATTCCTCTACTCTCTATATACTTACACCGCAGAAATATAATGCAAAAAATAATATAATCTACTGCTACCTATAAAAAATAATGTAATATATTAATCAAGTATAATATTAACGTTTTTATGATAATATAACGACGTGTTTAGTCGTTACAAGCAATATTTAAGCTATATATTCGATTTTAAGCAAAACGCACACACACACACATGTATACACAATACACACACATACAAACACACACATTCCATCGTGAATATATATATAATAACGTAATTATATTGTCAATATTGTTGCTGTTTATGATATGTAATTTATTCTCAAAGATATCTGTGTGTAACGTTATTTTGTAATTAAATTCTTAATGCTATCATCGAAGTAAACTTTATCTTGACGTTGATTTAATATTTAAAATTGCATGCGCTCTCTCTCTCTCTCTCTCTCTCTCTCCTCCCTCTCTTTCTCACTCTCTCACTCTTGTAGAAAAGAAAACCTTGAACTAAATTTTTTATCTAAATTTATACTAAAATCGTACCTCAACATTTTTCTGGAATACATAATGCCGATATATCGGGAACTTTCTTCATTTATTTAAATCTAGCATCTTGAGATGGCGATGATATAAATGTCGCGTCGTTTCACGCAACACACACACACACACACACATAGATAATATGACTGATAAATAATTGAGATGCGAAAAGAAAACGCGCGAAAACATTTAACCTTTCGAAGTTATTATTGTCCACGATGTTTATTGATTTATCGATTTATTGCTCGGCTGTTTTAAATTCACTTTCGACACGAGAAGTGTAAACTTCTCGTTCCGGAGAAATATTCGTATCGACAGTGCAGCCACACGCAAAATATTCATGGTAACTAACGCGATAACGGACTAGGGAATTTTATAATAAATTGGGTCAACCCATCTAGTGCATTTAAAAAAGGCTGCTATGCATGAAATTATCTGGAATATTATCAACATTTTAAGGAATTAAAAAATTCAATAATAATAATGTATTATTACGTTATTTAATAAATATGCATTAATTATTTCGTCATGAAAATATTTATGTATAATTGCATTAAAGATATTTCATATAAAACAACCTTTAGTATGCATTTTTAGCGCACTAAAAATTTATTATTTATTAGTGGTTCGTAGATGATTCTCATCTGACTGCATGCATATATATATAATGCACTAATGCACACATGCACATAACCTAACCTTATTTCAGAAACCGATTCGAATAAGTCAATGGAATATAAACACTGGGACTCACGCACATATTTATTTATAAAGCTCAGTTTTAGATAAATTTTGGATTCAACAATTTTTATAATTAATTATAAAAATTAGATGAGAACCATCATCTCGATAAATTTAATCAGTCAATTTTAACATTATGATGAAGATACCTAGTGCAATAACGCTGCAAAATATTATAGAGTTAGATAAATTAAGACGAGAAATGGATGTTCGTCTGCGATTGATTATATACAGAGATAACATGATTTTCAACGATATCATTGTCAGATTACAAACTGTATGTAAATACGATATCAGTGAACGATTCAAAGGACCTACAGGAGATAATGTTGAACATACATATAAAGATATAGCAAAGCCAGTTTGTTTATGTGCGAAGGGACTGAATTCCTACCTCGTTTCAGCCTACATTGTAACGCTATCAAAATCATTTGTTTATCGTAAAAGTGCTATAAAAGTGTTGAAAACATTTCTGCAGACATGTAATAACTTAGCATTTGATGAAGGATATTTACAGATAATATTTATAAGATTAAGAATGCCGAAGAAACAATTTTTAGATTACAAATGGTAAGTTTGCTCAGTGATCTTATAATACAATTTTTAAATTATATGTATGAGCAATTTTTGTTATATTCATACTTTCTTAGGAACAGAAGATTAATACAAATAGTTCAAGAAAAGCAAGAAGCTGATTGTGCTATGTCTTGGTTGTCCACATTGGGAGGAGCATTTTCTGCATTGGGGGAAGAATTTGACCATTGTGTAAGTTGCAGCTTTTGTCGAGTTACATATAGTATGCTCTAATTCTAATTAATTTATGTTTCTTTCATACAGGCTGAAATGGCAGGCAAAATTTCAGTGAGACAATTTGAATTAGCATTACGCCTTGATAATCCTCTTCTTATTGCTCGCTGCAGATTATATTCTGCTTTAAGCTTAATTCAACGTGGTTGCTTTACTACTCCAAAATATATGATACGAAGAATTTACAAATTTGCACTCAGAGAGAAGGATGTGCGTCTGCAAAACATGTGTCGAGGTGTCTGGGCCAAATTGCAATTTAGTTATGAACAATACAAACAAGAGAAATCTGTATCCCTTAAAACTTTGCATATATCTTTAAAAACATAGGAAATTTAAACTTTGTATGTGCTTTTTTAAACATAATAATATATTACCTATATTTTGCAACCACATAATTCTCTAAAATTTATTCTCTTCTTAATTAAAATAAGTCTTATTTATTATACAAACAGAAAACAATAGATAATCATATAAACTTAAAATGGCTTATTGAGTAAAAATTTTCAATCATTGATAAGTTTTTCTTTATTATAAATTTGACATATCTATACACACACGCGCTTATATATTTATATTTTTTCTATTGCTTTATGTTGTAATATGTGCATGTAATTTTAAAATTAACGTATACAGAAGTATAAGTGCCTCTATACTACATCATATATTACTGCACTTACTTAAATAATGAAAATTTTTCAAATTGTAGGTATGTGTTATAACATGTGAAATTGTTTGCAGTTTATATATTTATTTTTGGTTGTATAAAATATTGATGTAATTTATTCGTATTAAAAACGAAATATTAAAATGATCATTTGGCTATTTATAATATAAATTGCATTTGCTATAATTGCAATAGTTAAACATTTGAAGATTGATATATCAAATGTCTATTAAAATATATGATAATATATACCAGAACAAATTAACATGCTTTAGCAAATATATAAATGAAACTGGTTTTACGCACATGTACAAAAAATTCATAATTTTAAATATGGTAACTTATACATTCTACTCTCTCCTTCTCAGTCTTGATAATTGAACTAAATTGCCCTCGTATACTGAATAAAGAAGAGATGAATTTGAAATTCATATATGACAAAGCCACTTATCAATACTACTACATTCTCTTTTAAGGTATAAAATATTTGTATTTTGTACACTCGCTGCATCCGGAATTTTTATTCAATATTTCATTTTTCATTATGCCTCAAATCTTTCATCTGTAAAATAAAACAGCTTGCCACTGCGTTTAATTAAATTTACTTTTAACATCAATGAGCGAGTGTGCCCATAGGATCCCAGGCTGGTAAAACGATAGGTTCCTGATTAAATACAGCAAGCACGTCTGCAGGTACGTATTTTTTATCTACGACCGCCTCAAAGACAAATTCACTGAACCATTCAGTGGATACGACTTGAAAACCTTTTTGCCCGTGATCCTCGCCCCATGAATTCTCTATCCGGAATTTCTTTATCTTACCATCTCGCTGAGAAAGTAGTAGTCATAGATTAAATAACCAATTAGTAAAAATGATTACACTTTTATTTGCAAAAATACTCACGTCTATTGAAACAGCTGTAAGTGCCATTGCATGTACCATCATGGAATCCCCATAGAGCAGTCTATCAGCCTTAGAAAGTCCCAGATGAATATCCGTACCAAACATCAACTCAAAGTTATAAGTTTTTACGTCGTGGATACCATGCTTGTCTATTAATCTTTTGTTAACATCGCAGCCAAACCAAACAGGCTCATTATCCTTGATACTCTCAGCGCACAGCTTCATCAGCAATTCCACTGGTTGATTATTGTAGCGAGTAGTTTTTCCTCCTACGACATTTCCCAGGCAATCCACAGTATACAGTTTCCCATAAGCATTACTTGGTCGGGGATCGGTCACCAAGCATACTTTATCGTTTACATTGTAATGCGGTTTCACATAGTTCTCATAAAATTCCAATGGCGTGATAGGTCCCACAGCGTTGTAGTTCTTGGATTTATCATAGTACTCCCATGTAATCTTCTCAGAGGGTATACCCAAACAAATGCCGATTATTCGATAAATTACTGTCATCTGCTCATTTATCCGCGTCTTCAATTCCTCGTCGGAAGCGCCATTTTCGATCATAGTCCGCAGAGCTTTGGCATACTCTCTCAGTTTACTCTTCAACAGGCTGTTCATGCGAACGCTGGCTTCGCAACTGTAGGATTCTGGGAAACATGATTTCGGGACGACACCGTATCTAGTTATCAGATTCACAATCATATCCCATTGGCCACCATCGGAAGTCGGATCGGTCAATAAAAAATTAACCAATCGGCCTTCAACCGATTCACCGCGTTTTGCCGTATTCACGATATTATTCAAAAAATAATTGCAACGCTCTACCTATAAGGAAAATATTATTGCATGTAATTAAATATGTAATAATAAAATAAGATTCAAGGTACCATTTCATGTGCAGCATACTATCGCAGCAGTTTGTTGCTATTAGTGAAGTTCAATTGAACGAACAGCAAAGGTAGCAAAGCAGAAAAACACACAACTAGTTGATTCTAATTATTAATGCTAGGTATGAAAAGGTACCTTTATAGAGGAACAATGATTGTAAATAACATATACATACCTTATCCCAAAAGAACAAATAAGCCTGGCTAAACTCGAACTCATCTAAATTATATTGCTTCATGAAACTAGTTCTCATGACATTCAAAATGGCAAACAACCAGCATCTTCCAGAATTTTTCTGGTTAGTCACGGGTTTGCCTTCAGTCTCGATTTTATGAGTGAAGACATGAGAGGACTCCTCCAAGATTTTCCTTGAGGCGCAGGCCTCAATGGGATTCGTTTTCGTGCAGACATTTTGTGCCAATATATTACGATCATTGGCATAAAATTTTGCACGCAGCTGACTAAGAACTTCGGGGGTTAAAGGACCTGTTAAAAAAAAGAGAAAATATTTAGTAAATTCTACGACTATAGTTAAATTGAATATAGAATTCTTCCACAGTTTCGATACGGCAAACAAAAGAACATTTTATCATATCTTTATCACGGCCTTGAGAATTTATTTACGCGATGCATGTTATTGTTATGAAGATACTGCAAATAATATCACGCGATCTGATAACGACTAACAAATATGCAGATAGAATGATTTTAAAATTATTAATAGCGCTAGAGGGGTGTGGCTTGTTCCGAAGCAAAAAATCGGGCATATTCGGAAAGGTTAAGGCTGGTCAGTTACGTTCATACCAAATTAGTTATCGTGTCTAATTCTTTTCTTCAGATAAATATTTTATATTGAATATTTTATACGGATGAAGAATTTCCGATATAATTAATGCAATATATGTAACTTACAAATAACCATCGTAACGAATATAATAAGCAACTTCAAGCAACTCAGGTCACAGGTGACGCCAAAAAGTTGTATCACGCTACGCTTAAAGCCCGTATTACACTACGGGTTCTTGGGAGCTCGTTGGCTTTTATAGACGCGGTTGATGGTTACGGATTGACCAATCAGCCGGCAAGTTGCTTTGCTCTGATTTATATATACATATATAGAGTATAATTTATATGGCGTATATGTTTAAATTTTTTTTTTTTTTAATAATTTTTTTATTGCTTAAAAATGATTATGAATATGTTTGTATATGTATATATACAGGGTGTCTGAGACTACCCGTACACCCCTTTTATTTCAGAAACAGAGCATTTTAAAGAAAAATATTTCAAACAAAAGTTGTATGGTTTCAAGGGGATTATATATATATAAGATCGTGCCATTGATTTGACCTTGAATAATCATTTAACGGTCACGTGTGAAGATCACCTTCAATTTCTTAAATGGAACTACCTATTTTTCATTGCATATTCTTGTAGGTTATCTCAAGAGCTTTCCAAAACCCTATAATAAAGTATTTTTTCATGGAGTACTTTTTGAATTATAAAAGGTTTGAAGTTAACAATTTTTTGACATAAAATTTAAAATATATCTTGTGAAATATTTCTGTTTTTGGTATTCTTACCTTAATATTTTTATGCATGAAATAATGAGACCAAATATAATTATTTAAAAAAGTATGTAATATGCAATAATGCAGCTGTGTATTTCTTTTTAAAGCAACTATTTGTTTTCTTTATATCAATTAATTGATCTCATTATTCCTTGTATAAAAGTATTAAGGTAAGTTTATCAAAAACTGAATATTTCACAAGATATTTTAAATTTTATGTCAAAAAATTGTTAACTTCAAACCTTTAATTATAACTCAAAAAATACTCCATGAAAAATACTTTATTATAGGGTTTTGGAAAGTTCTTGAAATTACTTACAAGAATATGCAATGAAAAATAGATAGTTTCATTTAAAAAATTGAAGGTGACCTTCACGTGGCCGTTAAATGATTATTCAAGGTCAAATCAATGGCACGATCTTATATATGGCTCCCTCGAAATCATACAACTTTTGTCTGAAATATTTTTCTCTAAAATGCTCGTTACCGAAATAAAGGGGTGTAAGAATAGTCTCAGACATTCTGCATGTATACAGGGTGTCCCATTTTTATATATATATAGTCTCTCTCTCTCTCTCTCTCTCTCTATATATATATATATATATATATATATATATATATATATAGTGTCTATATAAATTAAAGAAAGGAAGGGAGGGGGGGAGAGAAACACTCTAAAAAAATTTGAAATAATAAAATATATGCAGATTATATATATTAGACGTCTAAAGATTTTACTTTGTTTATCAATCACGGGATTAAAGCAACGTGTAACATTTCTTTTAATTAATATATTAAAATTATATATACACACAAAATTTTCCATTCTTTTGTATAATATCATTAATTTATAATTCTTGCTAACATTTTATTCAGAATTTTTTTTATGTCTTGTTCGTCTTTTTAAAAATAAAGTTGACTTTGTCTACAATAAAACTACTACAAAACGTACACAATATTTGTTGACAAAATATTTTTTTCTGTACTGTTTTTAAAATATGTTATATAAAGTTTAAATCTCTTTACACATATTAAGAAATTTCGCTCAAAAATAATGAAAATATAAAGAACTAAAAATCATGTTTTTTATCTCTTATATAGAAAATTTTAAGATTTTGGAAGAACATATGTACACTTTAATTTTATTAAATTTAACATGTGAAAATTGATTTAAAAATTATCACAAAATTCACTAATTAAGTTTATCCATTTGTAGATTGCACTTGAATCTGCATCTTTACCTAAGAATTGTTATATGTTTAACTAACTAGTCACTTATAATTATCTCATTCTGTTTTCATCTGAGAAGTCAGATTTCTACATTAGGCGTGGACGTTTCTTCTGCTTTTGATTCTAGAGAGAATGGTGGTATTCTACAATCAAATGTGTGCCCATCTTCTCTTTCCATCCTAAATGTTCCCCTAAATAGAATTGTTAAATAAATAATCAAGAAGTGACATTCTCATATTCACAAATTAATTTATCAGTACTTACCACATGTGACCACTAGGAGCTTGCAAACTCACATGACTACTATATTGAAAAGCAGGTGAAGCTTTTGATAGCACAGGTTCTTGACCCACTACACCTCTTCCTCTGACAGTTTCTAATGTACCTGATAGACTAAATATTCTCCAATGCCTTTCACGTAACTGCACACTCAAATCACCTAAATTTTCTAACCGGATACAATAGCGCCACTGAATCCAAGAGATAGGTAAAAATTAAAATTTATACACTACACATCTTTTTTATATATAATAAAATAAAAATTTAGTATTACATTGACTTACCCAGTATACAGAAGTGGCCTGGCTCTCCCTGCAACCCATATAAAATGGTATAACAGTAATTCGAACATCTTCAGTCGTTTCTTTATGTACATCTGACAACTCAAGCCATGGATGATTCTTCTTTTGCCATGCCCGAAGGGTTTCTTGTGCTACAAAGCATGGTTCCTTGCCTGGATGATAATTTAGAAATTTGTCAAATAGTTCATGTTGCAATGCTGCCTTTTCGTTTGTAGTATATGGTAATACATCTTCGTGAGCAACGTAATCTAATCCAGGAATAGCATATAAGCTGCGACTACTCTCATGATTACCCAGAAATGTCACTGCTTCTGTTTGGGCACGCTAAACAATATGCAGAAATATTGAAGTCAATAATTTGCACAGGTAAAAATCAATTCTAACAAAATTTTTAAAATTCTACTTACTATATAAGGACAATCACGTTGATCAATTAAAACTTGATAAAACGTGTGTGTTCTGCTTTTAACTTCCTTATCATCAACATTGCTCGAATTGTTATTCTTCCTGTACGAATAAATTTACAGATTATACATGTATAATATTTATGTAAAAAGGTACATAAAGGAATATATTTATGTATACAATTATCAATATTAACACATACTCATCCTTTTTATTGGATATATCTCTGTCATATACTCTTGCCAGCCATGGAAATAAAATCACACCTCGATAACCAAAAATCCTGTGTAAAATCAATTGACCTGCCTCATACTTTCCTTGTAACTTTGGCGTTTCCAATTTACCAACCTCTGCCAATCTACAAAAATAATGAATATATACATATATATTAAGCATACATAATTAAATATTCTTTACTATTCTTTTTTTTATTATAATTTATAATAACCACTATAAGCAGATTAATTACACATTTTGCAAAAACTTTTGAATTAATGGATCATAATATAGTAAAAAATATCTTTTCTTATAGTCTTACATGTAAAAAAATATAAATAAATAAATGGATTCAGTTTATAAAATCGTAGACATTAACGAAATTTTACTTTGAAATACTTTATTTACGGTGAGTCAGGGACAATCGAAATGTTCAATGATTAAAATAATATAAAGTGAATAAAAGTAAACTGCGTCTATCTCGTTTCGGTACCTGATGTATCGCGTATGTTGCGAGCATGTTGCAGGCGGCTTCAGGAGCGACCGTGTCAGCTTGCGGCCAATGAGATTTCGCATAAGTTCCATACTTGCCCGAGAAATTAATGCCGATCGAAGAGATTTACGTCGTTGAATGAAAAATTGCGAGCATCTATCGCGGTCGTGTTGACATTTCTACTGATTTATTCCGAACATTTCGGAACACCAAAGGTTATACCGCTGTTTATATATCACCTGACATAACACTAGGTAGGGGAGAAATCGATTGTAATGAAATGAGAGTTATATCGAAGTGCCATTATTACGCGACATTTTGAATTTCATTAATTAGAATGTTGGATTACAATTAATTTAAAAAAATGTATAATTGTAATTCGCGAAATATTCAAGAATTCAAGTAAAATAATTCATCAAGCTATTTCATTGGCTATTTTCAATTGAACAAAAAGCGCAGTTGCCGAACTCGTGAAAACGACTCGTAAGCAAACGTCGATTTCGAGATAAATCGCGTTTACTTCGGCAGCGGCAACTTCACTCCGTAGAGTCGCCGGGCGTCGACCAATGAGATTCGAGGAGCCAGCTCGGCCTGGGTCGCGTTCGAAAATTCGCCAGTCGGCGGCGAAGCGGCGACCAATCGGGACGCAGGAACGTTCGCCTCCCCCGTCCCGATTGGTCGATCGGGAAGCCATTATGCTTCGGGGGGGTAATAAATTTTCGAACGCGACTCTGGTGATGTAGCGACGCATCGCATCGCCGTAATCGGCTAACTTCAGATCGAGCGATTCGCGTCCTTTGACACGCTTAACCGCGTATTAAGACCGCGATTCCGCCACCGTTTCGCCGCCTGACATTTTTCGCCGTCTTCTGATCATGCCAAGTGTCTCGGGCAAGTCGCGCAAATTATGTTGCCGGCAATATACGTGCACTTAGTAAATTGAGAAGACCGAAAACTGGCGGCTAAGCTCGCCCGCGGACAGTGAACTCTCCGAAAAGAAGCGATCTGGTGTGTTGCAGTGGGTCCCCCTCGGGTCGGATATATTTGCTTTATTGATATTCTCGGTGTCACAGGCCTATGCATATCTCCAGGTAACGCTTCACCGTATTGACGAGATCACTCGTCCCGTTTTTTCCTCGCGACACTCTTTCGTCCCTCGGACGCCCCTCGCGAATTTCATTACCCGAGAATCTTGTTTACGTCGTGGCTTGTATACGTGCACGGCGAATGCACATAACCTCGAAACCGATATCGGATCATTTTTGAGTTGAAAGTGCTCTATATATATGTTAGGAAGAGAAGGAAAAAAAATTAAAAAGATTTCTTCCAATGATCGACACGTCTGTTGATGTATCGAGATGAAATTTATATTTAATATAGGTTCTTCGGTAATATACTTTTATTCGCCTTTATTCATAAATTAAATTCTTTCCTCAATATGTTTTGGTGATACGTTAAAAAATATATTGTAAAAAGAAGGCTCGGTTTGCAAAGATTGATAATGTTTGCACTAGTGTTAAAGCATCTAGTATTTATATTATTATCACATTGATGCTCTGTTCTAAAATATATGGAAATGCACAATTTGTTTTTTAGCTCTAATCTCATGTATATTTAAAATATATGCATAAACTATGGCAACTTTTTTTACAGTATACAAATGTGTTTATTTAAGATATATAATTATATTATGTTATAATTAATATGTAACATGTGAATAGAGCATACATGTAAGATAAGCTATCAGTAATATCATTTAATGTGGAAAGGAAATAAAATCATTAAAAATACTAATCATATTTTTCCTGTATTTAAAATTTTTAAACTTAGGCTACATATTGTATGAAATGTGTTGCATAAATAAGTAACATTATATTACAGAATTTGGACCGTGTTTTAGATTACATTAAAAATAAAGTTCTTGTTACATTCGATCGGTTTATCAAGTAACCATCATGTCAGAAATAATATACCCATCAGGGTGTAGACCGGTCAGTGAAGATTTAGGCCCAGATGAATTAATCAGAAGACTCAAGGTACAATTGTGCAACATATCTTATGCTGCTATGATAAATATATAATTAATAATTATAAAATAGTTATACATATATAACATTAAAATGTAAATTGTATAGACATTAGCACATACGCTACAAGCTATGGGACAAGATGAAGGAATGTACCAACAATATATTCCACTTGCGCTACATTTGGCAGAAGAGCACTTTTTAATGCATCAGAGTAAAGATGTGCAACTATTAATTGCTTGCTGTATTGCAGACGTTTTAAGAGTTTATGCACCAGAAGCTCCTTACAAAGATGCTGATCAGGTAAAAATATGAATAATGATTAATGACAATATATTGAATAATTTTTATATTTATATAATTTAAATAAAATTAATTGGACTGTGTAGACCTGTGTAACATTGTTTTTAATATGATTTTTAAGGTCAAGACAATATTCCTATTTCTTATCAAACAACTGGCAGGTTTAAAAGATCCTAAAGATCCTGCCTTTAAGAGGTACTTCTATCTACTTGAAAATTTGGCTTATGTTAAATCATTTAATATGTGCTTTGAGTTAGAGGATTGCCAAGAGATTTTTTGTGCATTATTTTCTCTCATGTTCAAAATTGTAAAGTGAGTATAATCTGAAAATGAAAAAAAGAGAACAACTATTAAACTTTCTGCAATATAATGTGATCAATCTCTGATTTTAGTGATGAACATTCTGGGAAAGTTAAAAGCTTTATGTTAGATGTTTTGTGTCCACTGATTACCGAATCGGATATTGTCAGCAATGAACTTCTAGATATAATACTTATGAACATTGTAGAGCCAAACAAAACGCAGAAGAAGAATGCATATTTGCTTGCTAAAGAGTTGGTGATCAAATGTAGCGATACATTAGAACCATACATTCAAGCAGTGAGTAATGAGAACTGAAATATTTCTGTCAATAAACACATGCATTCCTATAGGAATATATAATATGCTAAACATATTGTACACGTTTTACAGTTTTTCAATCATGTCTTGATTCTGGGCAAGGAGGAAAAAAGCTTGCAGATTTGCAAGAAGGTATATGATCTGATTTATGAATTGAATCACATATGTCCGAGTGTCTTGCTGTCCGTCCTCCCGCAATTAGAATGCAAATTAAAATCTTCCTCTGAGACTGAAAGATTAGGTGCTGTGGCATTGCTAGCGAGAATGTTTTCCGAAAAGGGTTCACAATTGGCTGTACAGCATACACAGTTATGGAGAGCGTTTCTAGGACGATTTAACGATATTAGTGTATCCATTCGTATTAAATGTGTGCAGTATTCGATGCATTTTTTGCTAAATCATCCTGAATTGAGGAAGGATATCACAGATACTTTGAAGTTAAGACAACACGATGCTGATGAGAGTGTTCGTTATGAAGTCGTGATGGCTATTGTAACAACTGCCAGACGAGACTTTGAAGTTGTGTCAGATAGTGAGGACTTACTTGAGTTTGTCAAAGAAAGAACATTGGACAAAAAGGTAAAATATATTAAGTTTATAAAGTTGTCTAAGTTATAACACTTTTGACTTTAGCTTATTAATGATTACATTTTCAGTTTAAAATACGAAAAGAGGCGATGTCTGGCTTAGCTATGATATACAAGAAACATCTGAATGATGCAGATGTGCCACAGGCAACAAAAAGGCAGTTATTTGGATAAAAGATAAAATATTACATGGTTATTATATGGCAGGCATGGAAGACAGATTGTTAGTGGAGAGATTGCTAAATACATGCTTAGTACCTTATCAACTACCAGCTGAGGAAAGAATGAAGAAATTGTATCATCTCCTAGGTACAATTGATGATCATGCTTCCAAAGCTTTTGTGGAGCTTCAAAAGCATCAGCTCGCGTATGTATTATACACACACATTGTTTCAGTTTATATATAATTATAAAAATTTTTCATTTTAATACAAATTTATTATATATATTCAGTGTACGAAGAGCAGTAGTCGAATGGATAGACATCGTAAAGAAAACGGATGCTAAGAACGAATTAGTGACGAAGATTCATCAGATATCACGCTTTTTGCCAGATCCTATGAAAGTGCAAGAATTTCTTCAAAAGTTTAGCAATCACATGAAGAAAGAACCTAGATTATTGCAAGAAATGGAGACAATTGTACAACCGAATGTCTCGTGCAAAGAATGTGCTGATACAATAACTAAAGTCCTCAAAAATTAGGACAACCTGTTATGACTAATTTATATTACAACACGATTAAGATGTTACTCGAAAGAGTAAGCTCTGTTATGATTGATGAAGAGGCAATTAGGGTAAGCATTTTATTTTTAAAATCTATATATATATATATTTTCTATTTGTGAAGGAACACATTCAACATGTATACTCACACACACAAATAAATAAATAAATAAATATATATATATATATTTTAGGTTTTGATCGGATATGTCTTAGATTGTTTGAAGGGAGGTAACGTGATAGAAGAGGTTGGGCTTAATCCAAATAATGCCGGAGAGAAAGGGTTGAGATTATTAGTGGTAAATTGACAATTTTATATTTTTAAATATACATGTTTATAAAATAAATTTTTAAACAAATTTTTAAATTAAAATTATAATGTAATTAGAGGTTTACATTATATTCAAAATATTTTAGATGCTGTCATTTGTCTTTGGCCCGCATTTTCTGCATAATGATATCTTGATGCAATTGGTCAATCTGCTTGAATTAGAAGACGAGATGGTGGCACCATTAGTTCTCTCCATCTTCACGTTTTTGGGAAAATATAAACCTTTGTGCGATGTAGCACCAGATATTATGAATCTTATGGTGCCAATATGCAAAAACTTCGCCGAAACGGGAACACCAAAGCAGGCAAAACAAGCCGTGAGATGTTTATTCGTTAATATGACCAACATTCACGACACCATCTTCCCTGAAATTATCGAGAGAATTAAGAACACACTAACACCTACATCGGAATATTATCGAACGTCTATAGTTACGTTAGGTCACATAGCATATAATTTGCCAGACAAATATCAAATACAAATAAAAAATATGGTTTCCAGAAAAGTAAGTGAAAACAAGTTGTAACATTTACGAATTTCTGGATGCTTTACACAATTATTATACAAGAGATGTAATATTTACTTCTGCAGATAGTTAAAGAATTATTAGTAAAGGAAAGCAGCGAGCAAACCTCCGAGACTATTGAAGGAGATTGGTGCAGAGAAGATCAATTACCTG